CGCTGCTGGGAAATGCTATTTTCAGGTGTGTGACTATTGTTTATGCCGCATTTGTTTAACTCTGTGAAGCTGTGATTCTTTGCCTGTCTAATGCACCTGATGGTCTAATAAAGAGCTGAACAGTCAATAGCAAGAGAGGAGCAAGGATAGGCAGGGCTGGCAGGCAGAGAGTGTAAATAAAGAAACGAGGAAGAAGAGGAGCAGCAAGAACAAGGAGAGGAGGACATCAAGGGCCAACCACCCAGCCAGACACAGAGTACGAAGGAAAGTAAGATGTACAGAAATAATAAAGATAAAAGCCCAGAGGCAAAGGTAGTCGGGATAATTAGTTAAGAAGAGCTGGCAAGAAGCATGCCAAGCTAAGACCGGGCATTCATAACTAATAATAAGCCTCTGTGAGTGATTTTTTTTTAATCTCAGTAGTGGGTCCCTCAAAAAGCCAAAAGAATAAAACAGCACACAATAACACATCTTCAGGGAGGGCCCATAGAATTTTCCCAATTGAGACATTGAGTGAATTGGAGCAGAGATATCCTTGCCAACCTCTCTGGTGACTGTCCTCAGTAGGTGGGAGATGATGTTGCCACAGTAACGCAGGGAATCCTTGCAGAGACCAGAAGACATAACTGTTAAAAACATGCTGAGTACAGTTACTATTGATAACTCCCAAGAAGTAATAACATTTTGATCACAAGGGATTGTGGTGGAGGCCTGTGAATCCTCAGACCTGAAACAAATGAAGCCAGAAGCCTATTTAATTGCTACTTACTATATGTGAGTGGAAGAGTTATAGGAATGGTGGGCAGAAAATGAGCTGGTCACTATAATAGAGATGTAGGACATTATCTAACATTGGTCGTAAGCCAGTTCTTAAACCTGGAATCCCTTAATTAAGGTGTGGAAGGCAGGTGTCTTTGAAGAAGGATCCTACCGATGGTTACACATGATGATTGTCCCTCAGAGATGTGGCCTTTCACCAGGAGGGATGTGAGCTGAGGAATGTGAAATTCCCAGACAGTCAGAGGATAGCAGTCTGCACATCATAGTCCCTGAAGCAGTGCAACACATCAGGATTCCAGCGACCCCAGTGGAGGCTGAGGAAGTCAGATGTAGTCCTGCCTCGCATCTTTGATGAAAAAAGCAATGATAGATGCTGAGATGTATGTGAGAATGGGCACACTGCACAGAGGAAACACAGCAAGAGGCTTGCGGATGTCAACTTAGGGCTGTGAAATTGTAGGATTGAAAGGACCAGTGCGACCCCCGTGCCTAAGGCTCACCATCTTTAACTCCATTCTAGGCATTAGGTGAAATCTAAAAACTTAAAAAATTTAAATCTGAGAGAGCTTTTTTGTCTTTTTAACACATCTGCTTAGTCCATCCAGTAGTGTCTTGGTCCACTTTTTATTGCTATGACAGAATATCACAGACTGAGAATTCATATCTCTTAGTTCTGAAGGCTACACAGTCCGATATCAAGGTGTTGGCATCTGGTGAAACCTTCGGTTATATTATCACTTAGCAGAGGGCAGAGGACAAGAACTTGCTGGTGTGAAATGGGTAGGTGAGGGAAGCTCATCATTAAAGAATTTAAGTGGACCCAGCGTTCATAGGCTAATCATCCCTTAAAGGGCTCATCTTTTGACATGGTTACAATAGGAATTAAGTTTACAACATATGAACTTTGGTGGACACTTCCAAACCATCCCAAATAGAAAAATTAGCATTGGAGATTGGAAACACCTCTACAGGTAAAGTACTGGCTGAGCAAGTATCACTACCTTAGTTCAGGTCCCCAGCACCATCTGAAAGCCAGGCATGGCTGTATCACCTGTGGCTCCAGTACTGGGAAGGCAGAGACAAAAGGATCGCAGGGACTTGCTGGTCAGTCTAGTTGAAGCAGCGAGCTTGGGGTTCACTAAGAGACCCTGTATCAGCAAAATAAAAAGGCAGTTGAGGAAGAAATTGTCAATCTCTGTCCTCCACATATATACATGTAAGTGAGCAAACATCAGGAAGCTCCCTGTTTTTTTTTTTTTAACACATGTAGACCACATACAAACATGAACAGTCAATTAATTTGTAGTACTTCATTTAGGACCTTTTCTAGAGACAATAAACATCAACTTGGTAGCCTGAGCATGGCTGCCAACCAGAAGCCCAGAGTGCAGCTTTTTCAGTTCCTGTTAAGGATAATCTGAAGCCCTCTGCTTTCCCGAGGCTGTGATCTACTGGCTTTGCATTGTTATTGTTTTGAAAGTTCACGCACACTAGGAGTTCATTGCTTCTTGGTTCTTTGTCTCCTGTTCTATTTCTGTCTTACTAAGAGGATAGGTGTACCTTTTACTTGGTTATTTTTGTTTTCTTTTGTCAAAAGATCATAATGCTTTCTTGCCTTCTGTTGATGTGGTGGTCACAAGATGAGTTACTCCGGTGGGCAAGGCTTACATCTGAGAGAGTACCCTAGATTCCTGGGCCGTGGAGAGGTGGAGCAGGCAGTCAGTATTTGACTAAATTTTTTTATATTTATTTATTTATTATGTGTACAACATTCCTTCCATGTATGCCTGCAGGCCAGAAGAGGGCACCAGACCTCATTACAGATGGTTGTGAGCCACCATGTGGTTGCCGGGAATTGAACTCAGGACCTTTTGAAGAGCAGTCAGTGCTCTTGACCGCTGAGCCATCTCTCCAGCCCCCAAGTATTTGACTAAATTTAAGAGAAGCAATTTCATTTTCTCAGATCACCAAGCCCAAATTTCAATATTACTTCTTTTGAAAACTTGGGTAAAGGTCTCTGGTGTCCCTTTCCATTCCTGGTCTTGCTCTGGAATAGGAATTTGGACACTTGACCATTCACGGTGAAGGTGCATATGTTCAACTCGGATTTTAGTCCTGATCTTTGGATTGGATTATTGACTCCACCCTGCTAGGAGCCAAGCATGTGGAAATGTATTCTAAGAATTCTTTCTTATGCTCTGGCTCATTATTCTTCAGTGTTTGCTTACAGGTTTCTTAGATAGCTCCTTCCCCAATGCCATTCTTAAGTGGGATTTCCATAGGAACAAATTGGAAAGTCAATAGAAATGAAGGTTCCTTCATCATCCAGCCAGGGGTTTTGAGTCAACAGGTCTGAAGCAGGACCTAGAAATGCGTCTTTTGTCTAGTAGGTGGCAGAGGAGCAGGTCATCTGTGATGTTATTTTGAGAAGCTTTCTCTTAGCTCATTTATGTTTGATAGAATCAGCTTCCAAACAGTTTACTCCAAAGTCAT